TATTATACCTTCTCCTCGTTTGTAGAAACTTTCTACAAACATAACAATATTTTCATTCTATTTTATAGAGTTTTATGGAATATTGGAATATACTGGATTTTTTATGGAAATGCAGATAAAAGATTGTTTTACTTTTTTCATAGTTTCGTAATGTCACATTACAACGATCTACATAATATAGTAAATAAAAGAATCGAAAACTCTTCTCCTGAATTTAAACGTCATTTAAATTAACAAAACAAAAAATTATTGAATAATTTAATAATAACGATACACATTAAATGACTAAATAATCTATTATTGTAGTTTTATATGGGGGTAGGGGGGAGGGAGGTGGAAATGTCGTAATTGAAAAATGAAGAGTAAGACTCGTGACAAAGACATGTATTAATCTTTATATTTATTCTTACTTATCTCTCCTTCTGTATTACTAAGAGATTCATGCAAAATAATTATACCTAATTAATTCATTATCATGTTCAATTATCTTTATTCATAAGACGGAGCTATAGAAATCTCAAGCTGTTTATTCCTCATTGTTAAATGCATCGGAATAGTTGTTACAGAGTAATAGTTATTTTTTAGTCTTATATGATTTGTATGTGTTTGTAATTGTTATTTTGCATATAAGAAAATTACATTATACAAATCGTATTACATTATTATGAATCATTGCCTCGTAATTATAATATTGATTTATTAATATGCCAAATAAAAACTATGGATAAGTAGAATATAAATTAAACAAATTATTATTATTATTATATCATAAGTAGGAATTAATAATAGTAGAAAATGAAATATATATTTAAAATTGTAAATTTTTAAATAATTTTATAAAGGGAATTTATATTTATATTAATTATTTAAATAATTTTACTTTTAAGGCAAATAATCTTTCACGTGATTTCTATAGATATTTATGTTAAATTATATTTTTTACTTTAGATTGATCTACAGGCGAGGAAAAATTTTTTAAACTATTGCAACATATTAAAAACAGTGAAATATATTTTGCTGATCAATAAATTACTCGTCGCATAACTTTCATTGTTTTATATTATCTATTTACATAATAAACTTGCATTTTTTTTATTTTTTTTTTTTTTTTTTTTTCTATTAATGACGCATATAATAAAGCAAATTCTTAGCTTTCTTCAGTCTTCAACGCACCCACGTATTTTCCAGTAATACCTCCAATGTGATATTCAATAAAAAGAAAACTGCTAGTTTATGAATATGTAATGAAAATAAAAATGCACGATAGCATGAGGAGTTTATGAAAAAGAAATTAAAGAATAATTAATCTGCTAAGAATAATCAATCTATTAAATTGCTTAATAACGTATATATTGATTCGAACCTTGAGGAAACTTTTACAGATTTCAAATAGCAAAATTATCATCTAATTAACATTTTGATATGTAACCCAAAAGTCAACTTTCAATTCGAATAATTTATTTCGAGAAACAAAGTAAAATAGTTCTTGATTTTTTAACAAATTAAGCCATTCTATTACAATGGTTTTGTATAATTTTTATTATACACCTTACTATAAGATATGCCAGATATCTTATTACTATATACTATACTGCTATTAATAATTAATCATTATTAATTAATATATTATTCATTCTAAATGCATCGGATTTTTATAGAATCGGATAATAAATATTTCGTGTTTGTACATATACACATTGTCGATTTATATAAGCTAGCATAAATTTTTTAAATGATAAAGACAGTAAATAAAATTATTTATAACCTACGTTAATACGATGAATTATCGCGAGCATCACCAAATTATAAATTCAATGCAAATGCATGGATATAAATAAAAAATTATTATTTTCCATTACTTAAATTATAGATTAGAAATATAATCCTTTATGATAGAATTTTTTTTTGTGTGCTTATAAAGTGATAGTTTTTTAAATCATTTTTTTTTTTTTTTAATAAATAGTTAAATATTTCAAAATTTAGAATACTATATATTTTTAAAAATCGATAATTTTTCTAATATTATATATTTTTAGTAATTAATCGATAGTTTATTTTTATTCTACTCATTTTTATAAAATATAATATAAGTAAATAAAATAGATTCTTAAACCTTAATAAACAACTGCTATAATTTAATTTATTAAACAGCTAATCTTCATCATTACATTCG